CGGTGTGTGTTGTGTGTGTTTGTGTGTGTTTGTGTGTTGTGTGTGTGTGTGTGTGTGTGTGTTTGTGTGTGTGTGTGTTTGTGTTTGGTGTGTGTGTTGTGTGGTTGTGTGTACAATCATCTCAAATATATATACTCAAAGATGTTATAAGATCTTGGATATATATAATATATAATACATAATAATAAACAAATATACTATAATCTTATATAATAATATATTTATATAGATATCGTAGATATATATATACATACCACATAATATAGCTGTATACACCAAACATATATACTATATATATATATATATATATAATATATCTTATATATATGTGGTGTGTGTGTTTGTGTGGGGGTGTGTGTGTGTGTGTGTGTTTGTGTATTGTTGTTTGTGTGTATGTGTGTGTGTGTGTGTGTGTGTGTGTGTGTGTGTGTGTGTTGTGTGTGTGGTGTGTGTTTTGTGCATACCAAATATGCATACACACACACATCACCACACACACACACACACACATCACACATATATATCTATATATATATATATATATATATATTATATATTTTGGCCTTAGTATATATACAGCAGATATAATATAATAATTATATATATATAGATATATATAATATATATATATAATTTTGATAATGTATATATACAAGCTATAATATATATAATATATATGAATATATATATATATATATATATATGATATATATTGATATATGGATCTATATCATCCATCTAGTATATATATATATCTATATATATAATATAATATATATATATATATATATGCATGGGTGTGTATGTTGATGTACTACATTTACTTTGGTTACACACACACACATATAATCCACCTACACCACCTACACACCCACACACCACACCCCACACACACACACAAAACACTACACCACACACCACACCCACACACCACACACACACCATATCATATATCTATAGGTTGTATGTATGTACATATGAAACATTCACCCACACAGCTTTGTGCTCCGTCAAAGGAGCACAAGTCTTTCAACTCACAGCGAGACGAGCCCCCACGTTGAGGATGAAGTGCAGGAGGCCGTACACGTGGTGAAGCGCATCATGTGCAGATATGGGCGAAGGCGAAGACAGAACAGCGTCAGTTCCCATGCCCCGATGGCCACCCACATGAGCACCACATCACGCTCTCCACACCAGCGGCCAGACCCGCACATCACGCCTGTAGGGTAACACACCTCCATTACGTGAAGCTGAGTTCTGCGCGCTCATTATTGAGGGCGGCGCGCGGGTGAGGTTTGATTGTTTGTGTGCAATGGGGGCTGTCTTGCGACTGTCTGTGTGTAAGGACTGTTGTTTTATGTCCATGTGAGTATTTTTTGTGGACTCCTTGGTTGTGTTTTGTGTTTACCGTCGTATTTCTATCGGGTGCTGTGGCACCTCCCTAACGCTTTGTCTTTCCTAAAAAGTAGCCTTTACAGCGATTTCACAGCTCCGAATATGCTTGTATTTTACGGTAATTCATACATGTGTCTGTTCGTTTCGTGATATAAATGTATTTCGAGCGTTAAGGGTTTTATATGTTTGTACTCCATACCCTAGGCTGCTTCAGCACCGTTTCACTTCTTCTACTTTCTACTTTCTGCAGCTTCATTTCACTTATATAGATCCTCACCACATTCCAACCAAATTAGCAACGCACAACTCACTCCCTGTAGTAGAAACATTCGATCAATTCATATCGATAGCATAGATCATGTATATATATATCCATAGCTATATTTATATGTATATATATATACATCACACACAACGCGCGCACACACACACACATATATATATTATATATATATATAAGAGATATCTATATCAGCTCTAGATACTGTATATGATTCAAATTATATATAAAGTCTATACCTGGGGGGGGGGGGGGTCTATAATATTATATACATATAGATATATATACGTATATTCTATCATTTATGTATTATATGTTCTACTATATATATATATGGTTTTAATAGACCGTCCATAAATATCTCCATAACCTATCATAGCGACACCAAATAACACTGAACAAAGCTACAAGAGAGATAGAGAGAGAGAGAGAGAGAGAGAGAGAAGAGAGAGATAGATAGAGAGAGGCGAGAGAGGACACCCACATACACATAAAATGTATGTTTTGAGTCACCGATGGAGGCGTGCATGGTTGCCATTGGGAGTACTGGAGTAGTATATTTATTTTAAAAATGAGAAGAGAGAGACAGACCAGACAGACAGGAGACAGAAGAGAAAAAAGAGTAGATGAGAGAGAGAGAGAAGAGAGAGAGAG